GTGTTGACTTTTGTAGGGGTGTGGTTAACTTTTTAGGGGTGTAGTTAACGTATTTAGGGGTGTGGTTCTTTCATAGGGGTGTGGTTAACTTTTGTAAAATGTGTGGTTCTTTCATAGGGGTGTGGTTAACTTAGTAGGGTGTGGTTAACTTAGTAGGGTGTTGTTAACGTATGTAGAGGTGATTTAACTTATGTAGGGGTGTGATTGACTTTTGTAAGGGTGTGGCAAACTCTTTTTTTTTTTTGTGAACGACTGTTGTTAATTTTTTGTGTGGGGGGTAAAGTTAAGTTATATGAAGTAGTTGTTAAATTGGATGGAAGAAATATCAATATCTTTGGGCAATCGTCAACTTCTGTAACGCTATTATAAACATATGAAGGATACTGTTAACTAGCTTAAAGATGTCGTTGTGTGAAGAATGATTTAAAAAATAAAATGTGAATAAAGTAACAGATCAAAAACCGCATTGTATACGATTTTTTTACATTTGACACTACATATATTATTGTGTGACACAGCGCAGCAGAGGCGTAGCGGGGACAAAATTTTCGATTTGCACCCCCCACCCCCTCAAGATTTCGATTTGCACCCCCTTCAACCTTTCAATTTATTTTTCCAACCCATTTTGGCGCCCCCTAAGGTTGGCGTCCGGGGACATATGTCCTCCCCCCGCCCCCCCCCCCCCACCCCTCCCCCTCCCCCTTAGCTACGCTACTGCAGCGCAGAAATGAATTTTACGTCCAATTTATAACCATTTTAAATTCCTAACAGAAAGGCTCATATCACAGTTCCTGTTCAGGGGACACCATCGCTGCTCATCTTAATAATGAGAACCGACAACTCTTTACAAAGACTGGATATTACAAGGTATATTCTTGCTATACTATTTTTGTAATAACTCAAATATAATTAAAAGAGAATTTAAACTTTATTAACATTCTAATAATTTAAATAATTTTATTTATTTTTTTGGTAGGTTTTAAAATAAAATTAGCATTATTTATCAACATTAACACCAAATTCATATTAGCGTAAAACTTAATTTTTATACCGTAGGCCTACGATATATAACTAATTGTTACTTTTCTTTCGTGCTGAAGGGTGCTATTGTTGCCATAAAAACAATTGTAAGAACAAACATCACTCTACATAAACCTCTTTTGTTGGAGATCAAAAGTGTAAGTCAGAAAAGGTCTACAATTTTTACCTGTGTATAATGTATTAAATCTACCCTTTTTACTATTGTATTAAACTATTAAATCTAGCCTTTTTACTATTGTATTAAAATATTAAATCTACCCTTTAAACTGTATATTAAAGTATTAAATCTACCCTTTAAACTGTATATTAAAGTATTAAATCTACCCTTTTTACCTTTGTATTAAGGTATTAAATCTACCCTTTTTACCTTTGTATTAGAGTATTAAATCTACCCTTTTTACCTTTGTATTAAAGTATTAAATCTACCCTTTTTACCTTTGTATTAAAGTATTAAATCTACCCTTTTGACCTTTGTATTAAAATATTAAATCTACCCATTTTTACTTTGTATTTAAGTATTAAATCTACCCTTTTTACTTTGTATTTAAGTATTAAATCTACCCTTTTGACCTTTGTATTAAAGTATTAAATCTACCCTTTTTACCTTTGTATTAGAGTATTAAATCTGCCCTTTTTACTAACGTATTAAAATATTAAATCTACACTTTTTATTTTTGTATTAAAATATTAAATCTACCCTTTAAACTTTATATTAAAGTATTCAATCTACCCTTTATATCTTTGTATAACAAGGGACAATAAAGAGGAAAGCTACCATTATCTAATGTACGATCATGTTATGTTCAGATCAAAGACCTCCAAAACGACCACATCGTCCGATTTGTCGGGGCGTGCATTGAGCCGCCCCACCAGTGCATCATCACCGAGTACTGCCCCAAGGGAAGTCTGCAGGACGTGCTGGAGAACGACGAGATCAAGCTCGACTGGATGTTCAGATACTCAATCATGCAGGACATTGTCCGGGTAAGGGTGTAGGACATTGTCCGGGTAAGGGTGCAGGACATTGTCCGGATAAGGGTGCAGGACATTGTCCAGGTAAGGGTGCAGGACATTGTCCGGGTAATGATGTAGGACATTGTCCGGGTAAGGGTGGTGATGTAGGACATTGTCCGGGTAAGGGTGTAGGACATTGTCCGGGTAAGGGTAGATAATGCAGGACATTGTCCGGGTAGGACATTGTCCGGGCAAGGGTATAGGACATTGTCCGGATAAGGGTGTAGGACATTGTCCGGGTAAGGGTAGATGGTGTAGGACATTGTCCGGCTAAGGGTGTAGGACATTGTCCGGGTAAGGGTAGATGATGTAGGACATTGTCCGGGTAAGGTGGATGATGAAGGACATTGTCCGGGTAAGGGTGCAGGACATTGTCCGGGTAAGGGTGTAGGACATTGTCCGGGTAAGGGTGGTGATGTAGGACATTGTCCGGGTAAGGGTGTAGGACATTGTCCGGGTAAGGGTAGATGGTGTAGGACATTGTCCGGGTAAGGGCGTAGGACATTGTCCGGGTAAGGGTAGATGATGTAGGACATTGTCCGGGTAAGGTGGATGATGAAGGACATTGTCCGGGTAAGGGTGCAGGACATTGTCCGGGTAAGGGTGTAGGACATTGTCCGGGTAAGGGTGGTGATGTAGGACATTGTCCGGGTAAGGGTGTAGGACATTGTCCGGGTAAGGGTAGATAATGCAGGACATTGTCCGGGTAGGACATTGTCCGGGCAAGGGTATAGGACATTGTCCGGGTAAGGGTGTAGGACATTGTCCGGGTAAGGGTAGATGGTGTAGGACATTGTCCGGGTAAGGGTGTAGGACATTGTCCGGGTAAGGGTAGATGATGTAGGACATTGTCCGGGTAAGGGTGTAGGACATTGTCCGGGTAAGGTGGATGATGAAGGACATTGTCCGGGTAAGGGTGTAGGACATTGTCCGGGTATGGGTGTAGGACATTGTCCGGGTAAGGGTGCAGGACATTGTCCGGGTAAGGGTGTAGGACATTGTCCGGGTAAGGATGGATGCTGTAGGACATTGTCCGGGTAAGGATGGATGATGTAGGACATTGTCCGGGTAATGATGGAGGACAGTGTCCGGGTAAGGGTGTAGGACATTGTCCGGGTAATGGTAGATGATGTAGGACATTGTCCGGGTAAGGGTAGATGATGTAGGACATTGTCCGGGTAAGGGTAGATGATATAGGACATTGTCCGGGTAAGGGTGTAGGACATTGTCCGGGTAAGGTGGATGATGAAGGACATTGTCCGGGTAAGGATGGATGATGTAGGACATTGTCCGGGTAAGAGTGTAGGACATTGTCCGGGTAAGGATGGATGCTGTAGGACATTGTCCGGGTAAGGATGGATGATGTAGGACATTGTCCGGGTAATGATGGAGGACATTGTCCGGGTAAGGGTGTAGGACATTGTCCGGGTAATGGTAGATGATGTAGGACATTGTCCGGGTAAGGGTAGATGATGTAGGACATTGTCCGGGTAAGGGTAGATAATGTAGGACATTGTCCGGGTAAGGGTGTAGGACATTGTCCGGGTAAGGTGGATGATGAAGGACATTGTCCGGGTAAGGGTGTAGGACATTGTCCGGGTATGGGTGTAGGACATTGTCCGGGTAAGGGTGTAGGACATTGTCCGGGTAAGGGTAGATGATGTAGGATATTGTCCGGGTAAGGATGGATGATGTAGGACATTGTCCGGGTAAGGGTGTAGGACATTGTCCGGGTAAGGATGGATGCTGTAGGACATTGTCCGGGTAAGGATGGATGATGTAGGACATTGTCCGGGTAATGATGTAGGACATTGTCCGGGTAAGGGTGTAGGACATTGTCCGGGTAATGGTAGATGATGTAGGACATTGTCCGGGTAAGGGTAGATGATGTAGGACATTGTCCGGGTAATGATGTAGGACATTGTTCGGGTAAGGATGGATGATTTAGGACATCGTCCGGGTAATTATGTAGGACATTGTCCGGGTAATGATGTAGGACATTGTCCGGGTAATGATTTAGGACATTGTCCGTGGTAATAATGTAGGACATTGTCCGGGTAATGGTGGATGCTGTGCGAGATTGTTGGGTAAGGGTGGATCATTAAGGACTTATTCATTAACTTAACTTTTGGGTAGGGACGCGGAAGAAGCAATGAGTTTACTGATAATATGTTTCCTACTGTTACAATAAACATGTTCGTCTTTAAAGATTACCTGCTAATCCTAATAATATTTTTTTTAAAGTCAGTATTAAAAATACAATTTTTAAATCATAAAAGTAAAGTATTTCAAACTTTTTTAAAAATTAAAAACGAAAAACAGCTTTGTAAATACATATATCTATTAATGTTGCTTCTGAAAACGGAATTGTTTATATTTATTGATACTTTATTTTTTAAATTTTTAATCTGTAGGCCTATTTATTAATAGTTTTATTTTTTTAATTGTTAATCACTAAAATTGAATGCATCTTCCATTTGTTAGTTACCTAAACGTTTATGTTATTAATTTAAAAATAATTTAAAAAACAAATAAAGCTCGTAAAAATGTTAATGTTTTGATTTCGATTTCTCTGACGCAGGGCATGGCGTACCTTCACAGCAGTGAGATCAAATCCCACGGGAACCTCAAGTCAACCAACTGTGTGGTGGACAGCAGGTTTGTGGTCAAGATCACAGACTTCGGTCTGCACCATCTGAGGAAGACAGACGATGAACAGGAAGACGAGAGCTTCGCTGCCTTTCAGCGTAAGTAGGTGGGAGGGACTTCCGGGAGGGTGGGGGGGGGTGGATGGGGATATAAGGACGTCTTAGGGGGTGTACTTAAGATATGTCTTAGGGTGGATATAAGAGGACGTCATAAGGTGAACACAAAAGGTGTTATGAGGGTTGGACACAAATGGTGTTATACGGGGTGGGCACAAAGGATGCTATGAGGGGTGGGCACAAGGGACGTCTTAGAATTGTGTTCTAGCATCAACTCCGCCCTCACACTGCCTATTTTCATAACCCATTCTCTGACCCCTCAATCAACCACCCCACAGGTATGCTATGGACGGCGCCAGAACTCCTCAGAATGCAGCAGAGACCAAGGGAGGGCACCCAGAAAGGGGATGTGTACAGTTTTGCCATTATCTGCCAGGAGATTGTGTACAGAAACGGAGTATTTTTCGTACAGAACATTGACCTAAGTCCAAAAGGTGAGAAGATAAAATTAGATTTAACAAGTTTGCGATTTTTTTTTCGTTATAAAATATTTTTTTAAACATTTTTCTCAAAATGTTTCATACAGTTGTTAATCGGTGTTCATAACACATCAAAAAATATATGGATACTTTTTTGTTTATGCCTAGGTCTAATATACCACACTCCACTGATTCTGAGCCCATTTAAAGCTTTTAATCTAATTTAATTAATTATCAAAAAATAAATACAATAAATATAATACGAATTAGTTAATTAAAAATATATTTTAAAAATAAATATAATGCAATTTCGTCAATTAAATATATACAAATTTGATGTAATTTAATTTAAACAAAACGATATACTTTCTTATGTATCGACTGTTTCTTATACTATTCAACGAAAATGCATTTACACATTTGAGTCGGTTAAAAGCTAACATGAACTTTTACATTTTTTTTTATTAAAAATCACCCCAGAAACGGTTGACAAGGTAAAGAATGGCATCAAGCCGTACTTCAGACCAACTTTAGAAACTTTCGACTGCCCAACGGATGAACTGGCAGGTGTGGTTAAAAAATGTTGGGCGGAAGACCCGGTGGATAGGCCAGATTTTCAGATGCTCAAAGGCCAAATTAGAAAATTAAACAGGTATGCGTTTCATCAGTTATATGAATAATATAGCATTATTCGTCTTCTTGCATATTTTGTTGTTATTATTTTAACGAACCATCAAGTAATGTACAATTTGGTAGCTTAACGCATATTGCCAATCAAAGGGACAACCTTTCAAATTTTGGCTCCATCTATTTATATTTTAAAGAGAAAAACAAAAATCTTTATGAGAAGTAGCAGTTCTTAGCACTGATACCGTAAATCTTATCTGCCTTTTTTACTTTCTCGTATATACGAAGTAGGCCTATAGAGAAAGTCTTGTAATCGTGCAAAAAAAAAAAATCGAAATTTTTAGAAATCTCGACGTTTTACACCTCACTGATACGGAAAAACATAATTTTGCAATCTTGTCCGTATGTCTGTGTGTGTGTGTGTGTGTGTGTGTGTGTGTGTGTCTGTCTGTCTTTCTGTCTGTCTGTGTGTAAACACGACAACTTGAGTACCGTTACAGCTAGGTTGATGAAATTTCATATATAAGTATCAAAATCGTAGATCCTGATCATCTTTTGAGCGATTTCCAATAACCGGAAGTGGTACTTTTTCTACTTTGAATTTTTCAAAAGCCTATAACTTGAGTACTATTTCAGATAGATAAATGAAATTTCACATGTGAGTAAAAGATCTAATTCTCTACCTTCTATCAAATTTTGAATAATTTCCGTTGACCGGAAGTACTAATTTACGCTATTTCCGATTTCTCAAAAAACGCATGTAAATTTATAGAGTACTAATAATATTGCGCACTATTATGCACATTTTGTTTTGGCGTTCGCTTGGTGCGCAATTCTTTTTTTCTACGAGATTCTATTCTATTTTTAAAAGTTTAAGTAATTAAACATCATGTCTATATTCCGCGTGATATAAGAATACTCGAGAAAGTTTAGGGGAGATCACTCCCGGTTTATTATCTCTGTATACGATGATGTCCCTATGCTCTATCGATCAACCTATTTAATGTTAGACAAACGTCAACAAAAAAACCCAAGCTAAGTGGCTTAATTTTCTATATAAATTCCATTTCGTTCGGGGAGGGGGGGGGTAGACTTTCTTCGGGGGAGGGGGGGGGGCTCGGTACCCCTCGAAGTTATGCCTGGAAGAAACTTCGTTTTCACCCCTTCTCCTCTATTACCAAAATATTTTTTTAAACTATTAATATGAAAATCATTAGTGTAGTTCTGATTACCATTTGCTATCCCCAGGGACGGGGATAAGGGTAACATCCTGGACAACCTCCTCTCTAGGATGGAGCAGTACGCCAACAACCTGGAGGCCCTGGTGGCCGAGAGGACGTCGGACTACCTGGAGGAGAAGCGGAAAGCGGAGGATCTTCTGTACAGCATGTTGCCCAGGTACCAGCCTGTTGTCAACACACGGACACGCCTTTCGGGGTGATCCGATGCGTAGCGCCAGTTGTCAACACACAGACACGCCTTTCGGGGTGATCCGATGCGTAGCGCACCATATAAGATAAACAACCACAAACGGGTTACAAAACAGGACTGAATGAAACAAAGGCTCGTTGAAAACTAAAAGATTTTAATCGTATATACACTATCTACACATAACACAGTCTAGTCTAAACACAAAATACACAAACTAGTAAACTAAGATACAGTGGCTAAAAACTAGTACAGGATATACTTTTACAGGATAGTTTAACGCCATTTCTCATCGAAATACTTTTATGTCGGGAGTCTTAATAAATGAATAACATATTGCTTGTTACCAAAAAACTATACTTACATTCAATGTCATCATAATATTTTCCCATGTGTACTTGGACACTTGTGGCAGATGAAGTAGAGTTCAGCTAATTATAATGACCACGGCATACAGCCGCCTTTTCTTCCCTATCCTGAGTCAGGTCCCCATCAGAGCTGGGTGGACTCAGGGCCGTCCAACAGACTCTGGATCCTAACTCAAAACTTACGGGTTAGCAGTCTAGCGCTCTACCACTTGGCCACGCCGTCCCCTACAATATATATGTATGTGTATAAATAAAATATAAAATAACTCCTGTTTTGATGACCTCCCCCCTCCCAAATATAAAATAACTCATGTTTTGATGACCCCCCCCCCTCCCAAATATAAAATAACACATGTTTTGATGACCCCCCCCCCCCTCCCAAATATAAAATAACTCATATTTTGATGACCTCCCCCCTCCCAAATATAAAATAACTCCTGTTTTGATGACCTCCCCCCCTCCCAAATATAAAATAACACATGTTTTGATGACCCCCCCCCCCTCCCAAATATAAAATAACACATGTTTTGATGACCCCCCCCCCTCCCAAATATAAAATAACTCATATTTTGATTACCTCCCCCCCCCCCCCCCCCCCAGACAAGTGGCAAGTCAGCTGATCAAGGGCGAGACGGTAATGGCTGAGACCTACGAACAAGTGACTATTTATTTCTCTGATATTTGCGGCTTCACGGCTCTATCGGCTGACAGCACGGCTATGCAGGTAAGCTGTGGGGGTAGTTGGGGAGGGAGGGTGGGGTGGGGTGGTGGGGGTGGGGGTGTTAAATGAAAGAAATTTTTTTTTAGATCTTTTAGAATTGAGATTGTTTTGTGTATGTTAGTGTATAGTGAGGTAGATTAAAGTATTTTTTTTAATTATTATTTTTTATTTATTTTAGGTGGTCGACCTGTTAAACGATCTGTACACGGCATTCGACACCGTGGTCTCAAGATTTGACGTCTATAAGGTGATCTCTTATTTCTTGAATCGTCTCAACTGCCTGTATTGTCTGGGCTTTATTTGCAATATTGATATAGATTACGTGTGCTTATAAAGTTAATCACTAACACATTTGGTAGAACACTGATCGACGACAGTGGTCCATTGAAGATAATATTTTTCTAGTGTATCTGATTTACATGCTTGACAAACAAGAAAACCCACACTCAAATATAAGAAAAATAGATAGAAATATTATAAGAATTTGTTCTTATCTTAACCCTAATATTTTATTTCACCTTACAAGTTACACCATCTGAAATACTAAACTGTCAACTAAATCTAGGATGGAATCTCTTTTTTTATATTTTTAAGTCAGCTCTATTAGGAAAAATTACCTTTTCTAACATGGGAGTCCTTATAACACTTAAAGAAATGTTTACCTGTTTCTGTGTACTTAACGTTAGACAGGTTAGTCAGTGAACAAAAACAAAATCATAACACACTTGTAACAAATGTTGATATACCACCAGGTTGAAACGATAGGTGACGCCTACATGGTGGTGTCCGGTCTACCCAACAGAAACGGGAATCTCCACGCTAGAGAAATAGCTCGGATGTCTCTGGCACTCTTGAAGGAAACGTACGGCATTAAAGTCCGGCACAGGCCTGACTATCAGCTCAAACTTAGGATTGGAATTCATTCAGGTGGGTTACACGTTTAGTTGTTAGTCAGGTAATTCATTCAGGTGAGTTACACGTCTAGTGTCAGGTAATTTATTCAGGTGGGTTACACGTCTAGGTATTAGTCAGGTAATTCATTCAGGTGAGTTACACGTCTAGTTGTTAGTCAGGTAATTCATTCAGGTGAGTTACATATCTAGTTATCCGTAAGATAATTTAGGTAATGCGTAAAACCTAAAGAAAATAATTACTTTAAAAAAAAAACATTACATTGAACAATGACTAAACAAATTATATCTCTCATTATTGAACAACCACAAAACCAATTATATCTCTCATTACTGAACAATGACAAAACAAATTATATCTCTCATTATTGAACAATGACAAAACAAATTATATCTCTCATTACTGAACGATCACAAAACTAATTATATCTCTCATTGAACAACCACAAAACAAATTATATCTCTCATTGAACGATCACAAAACAAATTATATCTCTCATTATTGAACGATCACAAAACAAATTATATCTCTCATTGAACGATCACAAAACAAATTATATCTCTCACCATGTTTGGTTGCAGGCTCCGTGTGTGCTGGTGTTGTTGGGCTAAAGATGCCCAGGTATTGTTTGTTTGGGGACACGGTCAACACGTCATCACGGATGGAGTCAAACGGGGAAGGTGAGTAGCTAGCTATTGGCTGACAATGGCGTTTTTTTTTATATGTGGCTGACATTTGCGTTTTTTTTTTAATATGTGGCTCACATTTGAGTTATCTGATATGTGGCTGACATTTGCGTTATTTTTATATGTGGCTGACATTTGCGTTATTTTTATATGTGGCTGACATTTGCGTTTGTTTTATATGTGGCTGACATTTGCGTTTTTTTATATGTGGCTGACATTTGCGTTTTTTTATATGTGGCTGACATTTGCGGTTTTTTATATGTGGCTGACATTTGCGTTTTTTTTATGTGGATGACATTTGCGTTTTTTTTATATGTGGCTGACATTTGCGTTTTTTTATATGTGGCTGACATTTGCGTTTTTTTATATGTGGCTGACATTTGCGTTTTTTTATATGTGGCTGACATTTGAGATATCTGATATGTGGCTGAAATTTGCCTTATTTGATAAGTAGCTGAAACACGTTCGTTATTTGATATGTGGCTGACACCTGCGCTAATTGAAAAGCTATTAGTTAATTAACGTTACCTTTTCGAACCTGGCGGTCTTTGCAACAGATGAAGTAGTGTTTACCTGTTTCAGTTTTCTAAACATATGACGGGATAGTGTTGTCACAGCAGCCATTACTTTCACTAAAGTGAATGATGTACCCATCAGAACTGAAAGGACTCAGGGAAGTCCTACTTGAGATCCGAACTCATGACATTCGGGTTAGCAGTCGAGTGTTCTATTAGCCGACTTCGCAGTACCTGCTATATTATTATGGCTCACTAAAAAGCTAAATTCAAATCATCCATTAATCCTTGTTAGGGTCGTTGGGGCACCACAGATTTGTGTAGTGTGTCTAGGGCTAAGTGTCGCATGGTCAGCCCACCCCTCTCCATGCCTGACCAATCCTGAAACTAGGGACAGTTTTAAGAAAATGTGCAGGTTAATTATGTACTGATTAGCCTGGCTTATTACCATTGTTTGAGTACAATTGACTGGTCAACAGATGTGTAAATTATTGTAATTTTCTCACCTTTGTTTCAGCTCTGAAGATTCACGTCAGTCCTGATACAAAAGCCATCCTCGACACTTTTGGAACTTTTATTCTAGAACTCAGAGGGGATGTAGAAATGAAGGTATAGTTTTATACCGTTTGATGTCTAATTAAACTTAATTGATAATTTATCGGATTATCGTTTTATACTGTTTGCTGTTTAATTAAATGTAATTGATAATTTGTCGAAATACTTAACTAGACTGACTCTGTTGCTTGTCGAAAACACCTAGGCTGTCTTTTCACCCCTCACTTGATAAGTCCGTGTATTGTTAATACCTCACTACAGTTGGACTGAATCACATTTTTGCACTGTCCGATTCTCCAACATCACTCTTTGCTCTTGTAGTCATAATTCCATTCTCAATTTCTTCTAAATTTTTATGAACTCTACAATTATCTCCGCCAACTCCTCTTTGAAAACACACCTAGATTAAAACTATTAAAGTAGATTTTTCATATCTGAAGGTATATAGAGAAGATAAGGTATTATTTACTTGTTTCTTCTTCTTCGTTCTTAATGTTAATTTTGAAAGGATTCCATTCATCACAATTAAGTATACGTGTCAACTGGTTATGCGCCTTTTAGGCTCAGATTTCAGCCAGCTTATCTTTTTGGATTTGGTTCTGTAGCCTTTGTCCAGCCAAGAATAAACTACAAGGCAGCAGTTGTTTGATTTTGGAGTTGTCTCTCCTAGATGAGTTGTTGTCCCTGGATTACCTGTTTGACATGATTGAATCTTATCGTCACGACATCAGAATATTATCTATTCCGCCTTTATCTGCCAGAACTGAATCTGGTCCCCATCTGATCTGGATGAACTCAATGCCATAATCATCAAATTTATAACTTGACCATGCCATTTATGTTTTATAATTCTTGTCATGATAACGCAATAAATTAATCAACCTAATTATTATACGTTTTATTTGCCAAACTGACCGAAAAAAAAAATTTGATCTTTCAGGGGAAAGGCGTACTCACCACGTACTGGCTCCTTGGGGAAAAACCCCCCTGTAACGGATCCGTACCCTCACACGGGATATTGTGACGCACACTACTCTAGGTGCTATGCAAGGAAAAGGAAGGGAAAAAAAAACCCAAACGGATTTATCAGAGACTTGGCTGTTGTCTTATTCTGCGGCGAGAGGTCGCCCAGACAGCTGTGATGTTCCAGACATGATATTGTATCATCCTTGTGATTCAAGTAGGGGGGGCGGGGTATTCCTGTTGATCTAAATTTACTTGTTAAAGTATTTTAATTCAGTTACTGTAGGGATATAATGTAAAGGAATCAGTATACTGTAAGACTGAATAGTATTGGTTTTAGATTAGGAAGTTTTTAGAAAAATTAATAATACGAAGTTAACAATTTTAAATAGCTAACTAAAATTTTAGACTTCATCTCTTCATTTTACTTGTTACAATTTTTTAATGTCCTAAAGATTCATAATGTGGACTTATTTTTAACTACACTATGAATAGTTTCGCTGGTTAAGTTATAGATTGATTTATTTATTTATTTAAGTTAGTCTAGAGAAGTTTCAAGCGGAAGTTAGATCTGATATTGATTTGATTCACTGTGTACCACCTTCATTGTGTACCATCTACACTGTGTATGGTGTCCGACTCACTGTGTACGTTGTACGACTTTGATTGTATATGGTGTACAACTTTAAATGTGTACGGTGTACGACTTTCATTGTATACGGTGAACGACTCACTGTGTACGGTGTACGACTTTAACTGTGTACGGTGTACCAGTTTCACTGTGTCGGGTGTACAACTTTCAAGTGTACCGTGTACAACTTTCACCGTGTACGATGTACAGTTGCACGGTGTACAGTGTACTAACTGTACCAGTTTTCCTGTGCACGGTGTAAAAACTTCAACTGTGTACCACCTTCATTGTGCACCACCTACACTGTGTACGGTGTGCGACTTTCACTGTGTAAGATGTACCAGGTTCACTCATTTGAGTGTACAACTTTCACTGTGTACATGTACACCTTTCACTCTGTACGGTGTACCACATTCACCGTGTACCTTGTACAACTTTCACCGTGTACGGAGTACAACTTTCACTATATACGGTGTACAACAGAGCTGAAATCCTCACTCTACCCCTTTAGTTAAATTATTACTTCATTTTTGTTTCATTATTTTAGCTTCAACTGTATAAATATACATACTCTTCTCACACTATTTTTTTCGTATTATTTCTGTTTGCGTGTGTTTAGTGTAATGGTTAGTGTTATGTATGTATCACAATGTGCCCAGCGTATCGTGCACATCTTTATATGCCTTTTGCATTCTTATTCTGTATGCACATCGTGGCAATGTGAATTTATTAACATTAGTTATATCAATTTTAAAAGCACCAGAACTCCGATAATATTTTTTTTATCAATTCTTAAACACTATGTTTAAATATAGCATTTTAATACTATAAAATTTTAAATTGTAAATTTTTTTTTTTATTTTGCCAAAATATTATTTTTTCTCAAATATACTCATCTTATTTGGTACGACATTATAAAAAGCTTCTGAAGCAATTTTTTAAAATTAAAAATGTATTTTTTTTAAAAACTAAAGAAACAATGCGATACGATAACAAATGAAACATTGAAGACTAGAATAAAATGTGATATTGAATGTGATAGTTCATTCCAGAAATGAAATGTAAATTTTCGAACTAAATTTAACGCTAAAAGTTTGCTAAAACGGATATTTAAGAGTACAGTTAACAGATCCATTTTTTTTACCCTTGTATTCAAACGGTACCCGTGTATATAGAATGTTGTTTTATGCCTGCACTCAATATCTGCATGGTTTCCGATACATGTACGACTGCGTTTGTGATAGGTGAATGTGTTAGTTCATATCACTTCGATGAGAACGTTTGGTTGGTAGTTTATGTACATACATGCTCCATATGTGGGACATACGCGTGGGTCATATGGGTCATATGTTTGATGTAGCATATGTTTAGATCTTATGTTTGGTGTGGCATATGATTGAATCAACACCTCCCAAATCAAGATATGTTTGGGTCAGGTGTGTTATATGTAATCATGGTGTTGCTTGTATGTGAAGTCGGTCTACAATAATATATGGAAGGTTAATCACCTGTCTAATAAAAGTTATTATTTTTTAGATATAGCATTAACCAACAATAAAGTGGATTGTAAATTAATTTACATATTTAAAAACTTGTTTTTCTCCCTAATATACAATTTCTCCTTTTTTTAAATTTAATTTTTAAAAGATCTATATTTCTTCTAAATTTTTATGAACTCTACAGTTATCTCAGCCAACCCCTCTTTGAAAACACACCGAGATTATAACTTTTAAAGTCGATTTTTGCATACCTGAAGGTCTATAGAGAAGATAATGTATTATTTACCTGATTCTTCTTACTTAAAAAGCCATTTTCGAGAACTATTTTGGCAACGCAAAAGCAAAGTCTTACATTACAGCATGTTTGATATTTTTAACTTACATATAACAAATTGTGTTGACTTTTTCGGATTACATCAATCAAATTGTATTGACTTTTTTGGATTACATAAATCAAGTATTTTTTTTCCTGTGAAGTAGTTTTAGCTTTTACAAATAAAAGAAATAGCTCCCGTGAAATACGCTTCTACTTAGGGTGTTCTTCTATGAAAAAAACTACAATTCTTTTCCGTATTGCCCCTGTATTCGTAATAAACATTTAAAAGAACTTGGTAATTATTAATTAGTTAAATTTCAAATGGCATTGTATTATAGCGAAATAGCTCTGCCAAAATTTTAAAACACTAGAAATCCAATTTTTTAATAATTGAAATATGTTTTAAGTTTGTTTTAAATATAATAGATGTTTTATGAGTACATTTGAAAAAAATGGAATGAATAGATTTGATCCTAATTATGAATGTATGAAGTAAGTTTTCAACAGGTCTCTATCTCTTTATATATATATGTATGTATAGATATATTCAACATATACATATTTGTATGCTCTTTTTGTCTTTTGATAAGTAGCCATATTTTATTGTATTTTTCCCCCATTGCATTAAAAAACTTGAAAATCTGTTTTATTTAATTTAACAAGAAAAAACACCTCCAGTTTTTTAACCTTTTTCAGAGAAATCTTGTGCACCTATTTATTCTATTGGCAGTGTTAAGTTGTTTTATACAGTTCTTGTCTTTAGTTCTCTTGCCATTGTCTACGTGATAATGAATTAATTATGGTCATGATTTTTATTGTCTTCAAATGGTAAACCAATGAACTAATGATTCCACAAAGATGAATAAATTATTAAAAATAGAACTTGGGCGATTTTGTTTTCCTTGTTTAATATTTTGTATGCAGATTCTCTCAAGGCGGTTAAACTTCACTTCCTCACAGCGAACAGTAAACATGGAATTGATGTAAACAAAAAATATTATGAAATCTGATGTTGGGTGCAACAATATTACCAGATCAGTTGTTGGATTTGTATATATATATATATATATATATATATATATATATATATATAATATATATATATATATAATATATATATATATATATATATATATATATATATATATATAATATATATATAATATATGTATATTTACATATATATATATTTAAATATATATATGTATATATATATATATATATATATATATATATATATATATATATATATATATATATATATATATATATATATATATATATATATATATATATATAAACATATTATATGCATATTTATATATTTTTTATATTTATATATATATATATATATTTAAATATATATATATATATATATATATATATATATATATATATATATATATATATATATATATATATATATATATATATATATATATAAAGAGAGAGACATAGAGAAACACAGAGAGGGGAGAGAGTGGGACTTTATGATAAAAACAATAAATAGTAATCGCTACTTACTTATTATAGGACTTGTAAGTTGTTAAAAGTAGGTTACCTAGTTCTCGCTCCGGTAGTTGCCAGCTAGCGGTTTTTTTTTTTTTTTTTTGTTTTTTTTTCCAAACCAAATGTGAATATTTTTTTTTAA